GGAAGGAGGAAGGAAGGAAGGAAGGAAGGAACGAAGGAAGGAAGGAACGAAGGAAGGAAGACAAAAATGAATAGGTCTCAAATTTAAACAAAATTATAAGAAAGGCTCTTTAACAAACGAATATAAATAGTCTTAGTAAAATCTGTAGTCGCTCTTATAAGTTGTACTAAAAATAAACACCCGAACAAAACCAAAAAAGGACATACATGACGAAAGACACTCAGTTTCCGAAACGTAGACGCGCTGACAAAAATATCAATTTCATAAAAAATAAACTTGAATGGCTTGAAACTCGTAGAAAGAAATGATTCATGAGTCAATAAAGTTAAAAAATAAAAAATAAAAAAAAAGCGGGTTTTTTTTTTTTGTTCAAAGGCTCGCCGTACGAAATTAAACTTAATACAATAAAACTAGTTTTGGGTGAATTTGCAGAATTAATTGAATATCCACTTACCGTTCGTCAATACGAAGAGAACCAGGGTTGAACCGAGCACAAAGATCACGGACAGTAACGCCTGGGCTGAGGCCACAGTAAAGCTTAAAAACGTCATAAAACGTCGGTAAAACTGCTCCTGCAATATGATCAGAACAGAAAGTTGGTCCCAGAAAGTTACTACGAATGTTATAGCGAGATTGTCAAGCTCGGTAAACAACATGCAAAATGGCACAAGCAACAAACCATGCAACATGCAATAAGCAACATGCAATAAACAACATGCAGCATGCAACAAGCAACGTGCAACACGCAACATGCAATAAGCAACATGCAGCATACAACATGCACCATGCGACATACAACATGCAACATACAACATGCAACATGCAACACGCAACATACAACACGCAACATGCATATGCAACGTGCAACAAAACATTCACCAAACTTTAGTAGGATAGAAACGACCCAAATACTGAGTTTTCTACTGACCTTTTTTGGGTGAGTATGTGATACATTCATCCTGTAGTTTTTTTTCTGTCACCAGTTTGTTCATTTCTGGAGTAGGAATGTACACATTGGAATACTACAAATCATAAAAAGAAGAAAAAAACTAACATAAGGATCCTATGAAACTAGTTTCATGCCTACTTAAAGCTGTTTTCAATAGTACGCACCAAATTGTACGAATTGCCATTCAGTCAAAGTGTTTCTATGACATTATGGGAAAAAAACAAAGTTTTCAAGGGCAAGTGCATGTGCTTATGGAATGTCATGAAACTACTTACCGGCGTCTGCATTGCTATGCAGCCATCCCAGACAAAAATTGCGACATGCACTTTGCAATAGACCGCCGTCAATCAAACATGTTGACGTCATTTACACGCATGTGTGATTCAAAAGGCACCAAAACTTGTCGATTGTTTACAAGTATTACGAGCCACACTCACCGGGCCTATCCGGGCCAATCCAAACTTAAACTACTATTAACTGCTTAAACTACCATAAATAGCTTTGTAATTTGAAAAAAGTATTGTTTAAACTCTCCCGCTAGTTCATGATCTTCTCCTATCATTTTAAAACTCAACCAAACCCCTGCTAGCCACGACACACCCCTGCTAGCCACGACAAACCCCTGCTAACCATCAAGAACCCCTGCTAGCCACCACAAACCCCTGCTAGCCATGACAAACCCCTGCTAGCCATGACAAACCCCTGCTAGCCATGACAAACCCTTGCTAGCCATGACAAACCCCTGCTAGCCACCACAAACCCCTGCTAGCCACAACACACCCCTGCTAGCCACGACATACCCCTGCTAGCCACGACATACCCCTGCTAGCCACGA